ACGACCGACTACCCCCACCACCCCGACCCCCCCCCCAGATCTCTATAAATACCTACAAAAGGGTCACATCACCCCGGGGACAGAGAGAACTGCTCCTGTCTGTGCTCCTGCACTCTGAAGATGCGGGTCAGAGGTGCTGGCGAAACGTTCGGAAACAAAACTTCCAGAACACGGCCACACAGCCCGGAAGACCCACACCAGCCAAACTTAATGAACTTTAAAGTCCCCACACCACCCAAAAGTCCAGAAAATCACAACCATTTCACTGCGTTATCTGGCTTCACCCACTGTACCCTTTGTTTTCTCAAAGAAACTTAAAACTGCAGTTAGAGTATGGTACATACACCGCTGAAACTTCTTCCCACCCAAAAGAAAACTTCACACCACTCATTTTACAGTTAAGAAACAATTACCAGAAATGTATGTACATTTGCATAGTTTATTCCAGTCACAGAATTTCTAACTGCTTTAAGCAGAACTATCAGTCTTCTGGGCAACTGATGAACCTGTTTGCTTTCCCCCCATTGCCTCAAACCTGATGGGCTATCTTCCCAAATACTCTTAGGACAATCCAGCAGCCCCTTTTCCATCAGCTGCCAAAAGGTTTAAGAACTGCCCAATTTAACACAGATTTCAAAGTAATGGATACATTTTTATCAGGGGCAGCCCATAATCAGGAGGAGCAAAGACTGGCACTTGAAGCAATGGCCTGAGCAAAAGAATTCTCCAGTCAACTATTTTCAAGTCTTGGGCCCTTGGCTGACACCCCTTGCTTCCTCTTAGTTCTTACAAAGTGGTAATTCAGTCTGAGTTATCTGAACAATCCCAATTAATAATTTGTGCTAGACTGCAGAGACTACCCAAGGAGCCCGGAAACAGGGCTCCCTACCATAGGTCCAGCCAGCATCTTGTCCATGAAAGTCAACTAAAGGCTTTTGGGAAGTCCAGCACAAGACAGGATCACAGAATGCATGAGTCAGACGAGACCTTAGGGAATCCTCTAAATCATTCCTGAGAGGTGGCCAACCAGCCCCATTTGGAAGCCTCCAGCAAGGGGGAGATCTAGACAAATGGTTCCATGCTGAACAGCTCTTCCAGGAAGATCGAGAGCTTGGCCTTCAGTGGCTGGCTCTGATAGCAGATGGTTTTGCTCATAGAGGTACTACAGTATCTAGCTGCATTGAGGCTCTCTATGGGTTGAGGTCCTCAAAAAAATTGTCTCGCCCCCTTTAACCTGGTATTAAAGTGGAGCAACAAAACTTAGTATACCATGTACCAGACCAGTTGGGAGAAGCAGTGTTCTTTGTGTGTGTGTGTGAGAGAGAAAGGCATAAACTAAACAAACTGGGTTTGCATTATATGCTAAGCCGCAAAGGAATGAACAAAAATGAAAATAAAGAACTCTATTAGGATTTTAATGACCTCACTAAATCACCCACTAATGTCCTTTGTGAGTCTTGCTAATACCCTGTGAGATGCCACTTATATCCATCAAATTCAGAACTGTTTACATGGACCAGCTACAAGAATTTTTCCATCCCTTTTCGGAGACTATCAAATATTCCTAGTTGTGCCGAGACTAGGCACATAAGGCCCAATTCTGGCCATTTTGCTGCTTCTGCAATAACCAGCAAGGAGTTGTCTCAGCCCATGAGTTGCCACTGACACCCACACCTGCAGTGCATTCTTCCACCCCACACTCCTTCCAGCCTAGCAAGGGCAAGCAAAGCAATAGACAAAGAACCAGAATTAAAGAAACGTTCTAACAGGCAGAGGAGAAAAGAGATGTTAAGCACCAAAGACCACCCCCAGGAGGTGCATTCTTTTTTCCTACCTATTGGTCCCTGATACTAGTCTATATCTGGCTGTGCTCATTTTAACCTAGCCTTTAACCTGAGGAGAAAGTACACAATGGTCTCTTTTCTGTACCAGAGTTGGCTGAGTATGAGTCTGTGCTGCTCCCCTTCCCTACCCCTACCCCTAACCCCCTCACCCTAAACTTGTCTAACCCTAACTTCTAACCCTAACCATGTTCTCACACCCCACATAGGAGGGAGGAGAGGAATGTGGAAGATTGCTCTGTAGGGTGTAAACAGGTATTCCCATCCTCTCTGAGATTGGATTGCAACTCATTCCAAGAGCTCGGTAATGCTACCTGTCTGCACAAGCCTCAAGAAGATGCTTTGTCTATCCTAGTGGATGCCCTCTGTCTCTCCAGTGTAACTCCTGTTGTACCAAGATTGGTTAGGATTGACCTGTAGTCTTCTATCTGCAAAGTAGCTTTATTGAATCGGGGCTGTAGTCCTTCCACCTTCCCTGAGAAGCATTGTCTAAGCTGTAGCCCTTCAGACTGCAGTTGGTGGCTCAGTCCAGGCTGGTCCTCGCTGAGAGTATAAGCTTCTGAGAGCATGTGATCAGAGCAGGAAAGGTCTGTGAAACCAGGAGCACAGGTAGTTTTTTCATCAATCCTTCCAGCTGAGAATCATGAAGTGTTAAAAAATTTGCTGGATGCCCACTTATATGCCAAATTGTTAAAATGTGTCAGTGTGCAAGAAGAAAAAACAGGATCCTGGACGTCAGCAGCTGGCTATATAAATGTCCTCTCTGCTCTGCACTGGTGAGACCGCATCACATGTGCATATGATTCTGAGCATATGCCAAGAAGAATATTGACAAGTTAGAAGAGGTTCAGAGGAGGGTGACAAAATACAGGGACCTGAGGACAGGCTAAAGGAATTTGGATATTCAAATTATCCAAAGAAAAGGTATCCAAAGAAAAGAAGAGGGAAAACATGTTATGTGTTCAAGTACATAAAAAGATATCATGGTAAAGATGGTTGGAAAGATGTGGTCCCTTCCAACACGACAATTCTATGACTGTCAGCAATAATGGGAGATTTCAATTACCCTGACATCAGTGGGGAATTTCCCAAGAGTCAAAGGTCTAACAAATTTTTGCCCTGTCTTGCTGAGAGCTTCATTCATCAGAAGAACAAGAGGGCCTGCTACTCCAGATCTAATCCTTACCAACAGGGAAGAACTGCTTGAAGAGATGAAGGTAACTGATACCTTAGGGAAAGTTATCATGTTATCTTTGAATTTGTGGTATCTGGAAGGGGAACTGAAAAGAGGTTTTTGGAATGAATTTTAATAAATTCCAAGGGAAGGTAGGTGAGATCCAATCACTTGAAATCCTGAAGGATGAGGAAAATTCTACAAAATGGGATTCTGTAAGGTACCATCAAAAACAATCCAACCAAGGAAAAATGGGAGAAATCTAAAGAGGCCAGCATGGATACATAAGGAGCCCTCCTGAATGCTAAAGGGACACATACAGGAAAGGGAAGGAGGAACAATAAATATAATGTCAAAAAGTAAAGCCAAGCAGATTGTAGGCCCACTGTAAGAAGGAAGTGATGACATGATTAGGGCTGATGGTACAAAGGCAGAACTTCAACTCTTACTTTGCATCTGTCTTCTCCCAGAATAGAAATGGTGCTACGGCTATGAGGAAACTGCAGCTCAGGACAGATAAGGACAAGGTAAGAGAGAAATTAGCTAACTTAAATGAATTCAAGTCTCCAAGGCCACATGGATTACATTCCTGGGTATTGAGGATCATTGCAGAACCCTCTTGGTAATCTCTGAGAACTTCTGGAGGACTGGTAAGGTTGCAGAAGACTGGAGGAGACCAAATCCCCATCTTCAAAAAGGGAAGGAGAAGGACCTGAGAAACTACAGACTTGTCAATTTGACATCTATACTGGGCACTGTATTCAAACAAATTATCTTGCAACATATTTGTGAGCACTAGGATAGAAATACAACAGTTAACAAGAGCCAGCATGGGATTGTCACAAATAAATTGTCCCAGACTATATCCTTGGATAGAATTACTAGCTTAGTAGATCAGGGAAATATTGCAGACATCATGGACCAGGACCTCAGCAAATTCTTAGACACAGTATTTCTAGACACTCTTCACTTGAAGCTTCCTTCCAAGCTCAAGGGAAGCCATGAGCAAGCACTTTTTGGGTGCAATTGCTCAGCCAACTGGGAGTCCATCTAACAGTAGTATCATCTAGCCCTAATCCTATTTCTAACCCAGTGGAGTAGGGGTGGGGGCACAGAGCTCAACATTTTTATCAAGGGCTTGGAGGAGAGAGTTGTGGGGGTAGTTATCAAGTTTGCAGATAGCACAAAGCTGGGAGTAGTAGTTGATGAGAGAAGATTCAAAAAGATCTAGACCAGTTTGGGCAGCAAGCTGAAATGAATAGTTTGGAATTGTACAGGGAGAAATGTTAAGTTCTGCATCTCAGTGGGAAAAATATAAGGCACTAATCTAGGATGGGGCAAACATGGCTTGGTAGTAGTATGTGTGAACTCATCAACTACAAACTAAAACATGAGCCACTTGTGCGATGCAGCTGCTAAACAGGCAAAGACTATCTTGGGTGCATTAATGGGAACATAAGAGTCCAAATCCCAGAATTAAATGTCCCATTCTACTCTGCCCTGGTCAAACCCCATTTGGAGTCCTATATCCAGTTCTGGGTACCATAGTTCAAAAGAGATGGTAACACATTGGTGCAAGTTCAGAGGAAGGCTACCAATGCCCTATGAGAAATGGTGAGAGATCTGGACATGTTTAACCTGTAGAAGAGGTGTGAGGTATGATAGCAGTCTTCAAATATCTGAAGGGTCGTCCCATGAAACAGCAAGTGGGCTTATTCTCTATTGTCCCAGAGGGCAGGACCAGAACCAGTGTGTTAAAAGAACAAGGAAAAAAGATCAGGCTAAACATCAGGAGGAAGTCAGCCAGTGGAACAGGCTAGCACATGATGTGCATTCTCCTTTACTGGAGATCTTCCAGCAGATGGTCATCTAGCAAAGATATTCTAATGCGTTCTACACTGAGCAATGCATTGGACTGGATGACTTCTATGTTCCCTTCCAGCTCTATGATTTTATGAAATAGAGGGCTTATCCATAATGGAGAAGGAGTTAGGGTTAGGTTATGCTCCACATAGCAAAGCTGTAGTACAATGCTTTTCCCCAGCATCTCATTTGCTAGCTGGTAGGAAACATTGCTTGTGAAGTAGCATCCTATCAACGCATGGCCCTCCTGTGGCCTCAGATGGTACAGCCTAGAACCACCTTCCTCCTAGCCATGGAAGCAGGCCTGAACCAAGTAGCAGTGGGGCAAATCAAGGAATAGGAAGGGACTGACTTCTTCTAGGCAGCTGCCTTGTTCCTGCCTTCCCTGTGCTGGGTGTAGATACCCTAACTCTGCCTAGTTAACTTCATTCCTGTTGTTGCCTCAGAGAAGCACCCAGCAATTGGTGCTGCCCAGGCCCCACAAATCTAGTTCTCCATATAAAACTGATTTCACCTTCCCACATGGATTCCCTTAGTCCTGCCTCTTTACCTCCACCCACAGATGAACTATCCCCACAAAGAAAATAGATGACTGAAATGGTGGGCCCTCAAGGCAGCTGTGGCCCTGCTGCAGGGGCAAAAGATGTAAGGCAGTGGCCAAAGATGGCTGCCCTGAGCTGGGCCCTAAGAACAGGTGTCTTAAACAGAGCTTAACCAAGAAGCAGCTGTGTTGCCAACTGGCCCCTCTTAGTTCATATTGGTGTGCTTTTCTCCTGTAGCTGGAGGGAGTTCCTTTGATAGCTGTGTGTGGGACTAATCTCTAGCCCTTCTGAAGAAAGTTAACATTCTGTTTGACGCAGGCCTCTTAGTGCACCCAATAGTCCTTTAATCCCGCTTCAGGTAGCCCTCCTTCCCCTCTCCCCCAGCCACCACCCCAGCTGTTCTGCAGCTAGAATGGGCAGGGAAATGGAATGTCCGGAGAGGAGGGCCTGCCACAAACATTTGTCCCAGGCAGAGCAGTTCCAGGCAGCCACTTTAAAGTCATTTTTTGGTTTTGAATGTCCCCAGGAGTTTCGGCATGAACTTCCCCATCTTCTTGTCTTTGGCATCTGTCTCACATTCCTCTTCACCTTGTTCCTCCTTCTTGCAGAAGACCTCAAAGCGGCTATAGACTCGCTTCTCCTTCCGCATGCTCTCCATCCTTTTCAGAAGAGAATCCCTGTCCTCAGAAGGCTCCCTCTGGAGGCTCCGCTTATGGCTCCCAAAGCTTTCTGATCTACTGATCCCTGTGTTCCTCTCTTCACCTTTATGGTCTAAATTTGTGGTGGACCTGGACAACTCAGGATTGCTGGCCGCTGGAAGCTGCCTGGCCAGCTCTGCTCGGTTCTTCTGGCTGTTAGCAGAAATCTGTTCCAGAATGACCTTTGTGTCATCTCGGAGGTTGCTGCTATAGAGGACGTTGGCTGTGGATGAGGGCAATCGAGGCTGAGGTGTTGGGTTCCCCTTGAGGACAGGCGCTGATGCAGTCAGTCTGGGGGATTTTTCTTCCTCTATAATCTCCTGGGAATCATTCTTGGACATTCGCTTGAGGGCAGCTGTGTTCAACTTATCTGGCTTCCAGCTCTCCAGGACTGTTTCTTCTTCTGTTTTTTTCTCACCTTTGGGATTCAGCAACTGCTTTAGCTTGAGGGATCCCTTCCTAAAAAACTCTCTTGGACTTGGTTCCTGCTTGCAGCTTTCTTCATCTGGCTTACTAAGAGAGCTATCAGAGCTAACGTTCTTGGAGGAAGTGCTGCTGGTTTGTATTTGTGCTGGTTTGTCTTCAGTTTCAGATCCATCTCCTCCTTTGAAAGACAAGTTTTCCCTCCTGTCTGGTATAGCAAGTTTCTGAGTTTCTCCAACAAATATTAGGCTCTCCTTCTCTGGAAGACTGGATTTGTCCGTTGGATAAAATCGAGAAGATAGCTTGTCCATTTTATTGCTCACTTGGGCCACAGGGTCCTTGCTAAGCATATCAGTGGCTGAGGTAGACCCTCCAAATTGTTCCTCTGACTCTGGGTGCAATTTATAAGGACTGAAAGAGTCTTTGGAATCCAGCACCCTGCTCTCCAGAATCTTGTACTGGACCGATTTGGTGCATTTTTTTTCTGCATTCTGAGATTCTTCCTGGAGAAAAGCAGACATAGCTTTGGTCTGACTGAGAGTGCTACTTTCCAAGTCTTTGCCCACAGACTTGTACTTTTCAAGCAACTCAGCTACTTTGGAGACAGTGGTCGTTTTTATAGTTTCAGCGTCCTTTATCATTTCACTGGAGGTCTGCTCTTTTTGCACCATTTGGACTTTTTCAGTGGGTGAGTTTTGCTGGTCTAATTTGGCAGCACTAAAAATAAGAGAAGATCTAAGTCGTGAACTCCTTTGGATCAGGGGGTTTATCCTGCTCCTGAAGGGATCCTGTTTCACCACAGAGGTTTCTTCTAGCAATCTCTCAGTTCCAGAAATGTCTTTGGTGTTTGGAAGTGGAAGTGGAGGTTTGAAACTGGGGAGAAGGTCGCTGGGGTACCTAGTAAGGGGCTCTGGAGGACTAAGTACCTCATTATACATCTCTGACTCCACTGGGATTGGAAGGCCTTCCTCTCCTGGTTCAGACTGATACCCACTAAGGTAGGAGGAAATTCTCCAGTTGCGTAACCCTGCCCTGTTCTCCTGAACTTTCTTGTCTTGATCTACATCTTGGCCTTGGTCATGCAGAAACAGCCGCTGTTCCATGCTCTGCTTCTGCGTGGGAGATGTCTGGCACATAAATTTCTGCCCCATGTTTTGCCTTCTTAGAGATTGAAGACCTAGAAGACCATTTCCTCCTGGATTCACATGATCAGAGCCATGTCGCACTTCTTTAGAAGAATTGGAAGGCACATAATCCAACCGCAGTGGATACCCATCCTGGGGGAAATTGGATTCCAGTTCTGGACACCGAAAGCCATCTGCATAATCTTCTGGTTCATTGAATCCTAGTCTGCCTCCTCGAATTCTTTCAAAAAGCCCCTGGGGCCTGTTAGCCCCATGGGGATGTTCAAACTGATACTGATAAAACTGGTCTTTCTGAAAATGACTGGACTGAATTTTAAATTCGTCCAAATTGTTCATGAACAACTGCTTAGAAAACTGCTTTGAGGACTGAAAGTTCTCAAAGGTCCCTTCTGCAAAGCTGTGCCTTTTAAATGAGTCCATCTCCAGCTGCTTGGAACGGAGATAGCCCCGAACAGGATCCATTTGGCAGTTCTCCATTTCCATTTTCTTGGAGTACATTCGCATTGCTGAACCTTCTAAGGTATGACGCAGCATGTCATCTCTTCTAAAAGAAGACAGGAAATATCTGTCTGGATCAATCCGGTCCACGAATGGTGAGAAAAGGTTGTCCTCTCGGGGGAAAAGTAGCTGTGGTTTCTTTGGAAAGAAGGGCATGTTATTGCCAAAGGGTGCCACGGTGAAGGGCCCCATAGGGGTCTCTGTCCTCACTAAAATATTGGATGGAGGAACCAGTGGGTCTGACTGTGCAAAAAGAATACGGAATTCCTCATCAAAGCTGGCCACAAGCTCTCCCTGGAAGATATGAGCGATGCTCCGATGGATCTTTTCAAATGACCACATAAAGCTACAAAGAAGAAAGCAGGAGGAAAAATTAATTTTTGATATGAGTTGCAGCCCACCACGCACATTCCCTGCCAAGCTCTTAATACATCCAGGTATGTATCTCTTGGTTTTTCGTATGCCGTAGGATCTCTAGGGTAGCTTGCTAGTTGGACAGCTGGCCTCTTTATTGATCTAGTGAGAACCTCCTAAGAAGGTCTATGATTGAGACATTCTTTCTCTCTTAAAGCATCTCATTTGGGAAACTAGGGTGCATGCATTCTCTCTTCTAGGTTCTTGTTATGATGCCCATGATTAGCTTGGTTTGGAGAAAGCTTGTGTAGGATATCCATCCACTCCCTCTCTGCTCACCTATAGCTGCCACTCAGCACCACCATGCAGTCCACCAGCAAGAACTTCTCCTTCACATGACCCTTGAAGGACATCCCCGTGCGGCAGTAGTAGGTGGGGCCAGAAACTGTCCGCACTCGTAGGAACTGCAAAGGAACAAAGAGATTGATCAGCAAACTCAGAAGCCAGATGATCTTCTCACTTCATCTGATCATTTGCTATCAAGCTCCCAAGCTGCATGGTGTCTGAGGCAATCCAGCATCAGTCCCCCTCACTTCCTCCCTTGGCCCTTTAAGCATTCAGACACGTTCTGATGGCTTCCATCCTGCTCAAGAGGGTTGAGCTGCTTTGAGGTTTTTCATCTTGGATCAGAGCAGGATCATCTGGGGGGTGGAGGTGGGAGGAGGGTTAAAAAAGACTCCTGCCTCCTCACAGGATCCTATCACGTCAGGTCCCGTTAGCTGGAAACCAACAGTAGCTAGTAGAAGTTTGTGATGTTGTTTCACTTCATGCGAAACAGTTCCTAACTCTTCCTTATATTTGATAAGCTTCTTCCCCTTATGAGAAAATATTTCTGTAATTGGCACACAGACCGCCAATTAAGAAACACTTTTCTAGTATGCGCTGCTTTCTAATTCAGTATTGCGATATCCATTGGAATGGGACAATATGTTGTACTGTGTTCTCAAAACACACTTTCCTATGGTTATCAAAACATGGTTTACTCAAGCCCATGTTCTGGGTTCACATGACACACTGAACCAAAAATTCATCACAGAGCTGTGTTTGTGCAGTCAGTGTGCTAGATTAACATTTAGTTGGCTGGCCTATGGCTTGCGTGTTGTACAAAATCAGCCACCGAGAGTTGATGCTACTCAACCACATCAGCGAGCCATTTTGCAAAATGAGGAAATTGATGAGGCTCCCTCCACCCAGTCAACAGCTCCTCCCTCGGCTTTGCAGGACTTGGGCAGGAAAAGGCTCAGATCTGCCCCCAATGGGGCTCTCCCCCTTGAACATGCTGACTGAGGGGTGCCCCCTCAGCTGGCATCTGTTCTGCCCTCTCCGAGTCCCTCCCAACCCATCTCTGCGCTCACTTCCACAAAGTTGAGGTTCACTCTGCATTTGGCAGCCGTGTCCAGGAAGAGCTGGGCGTGCATCTCGTCTAGGAGGATATACACAGGGACTCTGCGTGCGGCCACGTCCAGCACTTCACTCAAGAGGTCCACATCAGTGAAAATATCCATTACTATGGCAACCACCTAAGGGAGTAGGAAGAAGCCCGGATTAGCACCACAGAGAGGCTAGCTATCTAGAGTCCCGGCCTTCCGTTCTGCGGAGCTCAGCCATCCACACTTGACCTGCTCTCGTCGAGCTAGCTGACGTTTGGCAAGAGAGGAGCAACAGCCCCGTCGCCTTCGGCTACAGCCCCTGCAGCATGAGCCTCGGCTGGCTCGCTTGCCGACCCAGGGCACCCGAGACTGGTCCTCCCGTTGAGGAGTCACAGGGAACACCCGTTTCGCTAGTTCAGAGGTGCAGAGCTGAGGCAAGCTGCGCGCTGCATGGTGACGTTCCTTTATGGGGGCTTTGCTGGGGGATAACGCGGTTCTTCTGAGAAAAGTCATCCGAGAGCAATGAGCAATGTAGTAAGAACAGCTGATGGGTATATTGTCCAGATCTGGGTATGGAAGTTAGGCCAAACCTTAGTAAAAGCCACCAGGAGAAAATTTAAAGAAAGTATTTAATACGTTTAGCTTCGCTAACTCTTACAAAAGGATGTGATACTTTTGTAGCTTTGAAAGTTAGGGCCGTTGTGCTCTATGTAGCTTTTTGAAACATGATGTCATCGTATTATATATTACTGTTTGATTTTTATTCTCACAACTAAAGGGTTCTGAACCCCTAGTTAAGAATTGGAAGTCAATTTATGGGGACCGATAATGCCGGTCTTGTAAACATTCTTTGAACTCTCCTACTTAGAGAAGTCTAAATGAGACAAAGCTGTTAAGGGCACAAGAAATCAAAACGATTACTCAGTGATTTGGTTTTGCCATTGATGAGTCCAGAATCACTTTTTTATGTGTGACGTGTGGTCGGCAACAACCAACCCTCTCCTGGGCGGGCAGGGGAGGGGGCTGCTTATCAAATTCTTAGGAGCTGCTTCTGGGTGGGGTCGCCTCTCAGAGTGGCCGGGCAGGCAGTGTCACTCGCTGGATTTTCAAACTGGATTTTCCTCCCAGCTGCAGCCTCCATTCTCTTCTGTTTTATTTGTAGCTGAAACTTTCTCTCTTCTGAGTTTCCCTGTATTTTTAGTTTTCTTCGCATTCTTGAAATTATAAGGAATCTTTTAAACATTTAGGAACCCTACCCCTAACCTGAAAACCGTCAAAGGACGTAGAACATTCCACTGGAATGGGAAATATGGTTTCTGTGTTTTATGCTTCAATATTTAGAATGCATAAAATAGCTACATTAGAGATGACACCAGACAAGATTAGGATTTTATTTGCCTTTTCTTATGCTTAGATTATTCGCTATAATTAGCAGGAATGCTTTTATTTATTAAATTACAAATACTTCATTTATATGCTTCGTTTATCTTCTTTAAAATATAGGGATTATTTCATACTATGTCTTTACTGTTTTTGTGATATGCATTTTTTAAAATTTCTATATGCTTCTTAAAAATTTTTTCATGTGATTCTGCTTTAACAGCCACCACCACCACCAGCCATGTTCATTCAATCCCAACAACATTCTGGAAAGTGGCCATCTGTGCCGGAAGTAAAATTTTGCAGACAATGCAAATTTCATACATACAGTATTCAATAAACCAGTTTCTGGGATTCACATGAGATGGTGACAGTGACTGACTCAGAGGTGGCTTTCAGAAGGAATTACACAAATCTGATCATATAGTCATTAAATTCAATCCTTTTTAAGAACTAGTTGATTAGTAATCAATAAAGAAATTTACTTTCTGGCAAAAGGATTGCAAAAAGACCAATTTTTAGGAAATGTAGAGCAATTATTTTCCAAGAAAGAAAAATGAGTGGGATGAAAAGATGAACAATAAAATCATACTTTTAAGGGTCATCTAGTCCACCCCGGGTTGAGTACAGGATCTGCAAAAGCATTTTGGACAGATGACCATCCAACCACTGTTAGAAGACCTCCAGTGAAGGGGAACGCATTACTAAATGAGTCATCTGATTTCACAGCCCTTACTGTCAGGAAATTCCTCCTAATGTGGAACCTTAGGAGTTGGTTAGAGTCAGGCTGCATCCCAACTGAATGAATAATAATCAAATAAATAAAATAACATGAATTAACTTTCCTGCAGCTTCAACCCATGGTTTGGGTATAGCCTCTGCAGCAACAGGGGACAAATACTTTCCTTCTACAAACTATTTAGATATCTGAAGGTTGCTATTATTATCTTCTCTGAGTCATCTCTTCTGCAGCTAAGCATATCCTATGCCTTTAACTACAGGTAGTTCTCAACTTACGACAGCAATTGGGACCGGAATTTCTGTTGCTAAGCGATGCGGTCATAAAGCATGACCGCATCACTTAGCGACAGCAATCCCTACAGTCCTGGTTGCTATCATTAACTGAATCTCATGTTTGTTAGATGAGGCAACTTTCTGCCGGTTTCCCACAATCAAAGTCAGTGGGGAATCTAGCAGGAAGTTGCAAGTCCCAGGCCCGCAGGTAGGTAAGTGGCTACTGCCAGGTGGAGGAAGGAGCGAGGGGGTGGGTGGGGGTGTGGGGGAGGGTCCAGGGTGCGTGAGAGGCACAGTGCAGTTTGGAGAGGGTGCATGAGAGGTGCCATGCAGGTCAGGGAGGGTGTGTGAGAAGCACCATGCTGGTCAGGGTGCACAAGGGTGCAGCACGGGTTGGGGGTGCACAAGAGGTGCTGTGCGGGTTGGCGAGGGTGCACAAGAGGCACTACACAGGTCGGGGAGGGTGCACAATGGTATATGAGAGGCACCACGGGGGTCATGCAGAGTGCATGGGAAGTGCCACGCAGGTCAAGGAGGGTGCATGAGGGTGTGCAAGTGGCCAGTGCGGTGTAAGGACAGAAGGACTAGGGAAAGGTGCATGGGTGGGGGAGACTTACCCCAGTGACTTGTGATCTTCCCTGCTGGCTTTCCCTTTGACTTTCTGGGAAAGCCGGCATGGAAGGTTGCAGATGGTGATCATGTAATCACAGGGCACTCGGCAACCAGTTGTAAGTGCAAACGGGTTGCCAAGCACCCAGATCGCAATCACATGATCATGGGGGGACTGCAGGAGTGCTTGGACAGCCACAACTTCGAGGACTGGTCATAAGTCTCCTTTCTCAGCACCATCATAACTTCAAATGGTCACTGAACAAATGGTCATAAGCTGAGGACTACCTGTATTCCTGAAAGTCCCCTCACCATCAGGGTAACCCTTCTTTGCTATTGTTGACAACCTTTTTAGACTGCATTGGCCAAAACTGGATGCCACACACCAAGCAGAGTGGGATAATTACTGCTTGCAATCTGGACTCCTATTAACCCATCCCAAATTAGCATAGGCCTTCTTAGCAGCTGCATCAGGCTCCCGATTCCTGTTCAGTTTGTGATCTACCAAGATACTTCTATACTTTCCACATGTAGTACTGTCACTCCAGCATCCTCCTCATCCAGGTCATTAAGCAAAATATTGAATAAAAGGGCCCAGAATAGAGTCCTCTGGCACTCCACAGGAGACTTCCCTCCAAGGGGACATGGAGCCATTTATGGATACTCTCTGGAGACTATCAGCCAATTATGATGCACCATCTAGTCCATATTACTCATTTCATAACCAGGGTATAATATGGGTCTTTGTCAGACACCTTGCTCAGGTCAAGAATCACTGGGAGTCAGGATGGATGGATGGATGGATGGATGGATGGATGGCAGGGAAGGAAGGAAGGAAGGAAGGAAGGAAGGAAGGAAGGAAGGAAGGAAGGAAGGCAGACAATGTCACGGCATTCCTACAATCTAGGAGATAAAGTTGATTTGTGACAAACCCATGGTGGCTCTTATAAATTGTGCATGGTGTAACAATAAATGGTAGTTTTCTTTTAAAAACAAAACTTTCTCAAACAGTTCCAACTGTAAAAGAAAGACCACTGGAAGCCAGCAAAGCTTCTCCAGAAGCTCAACAATGGACTGAAAATCAAAACAAACAGCTGTATGATACAACTGACCTAATCTCACCCAGACACAGCAATCTGGTGCCAGGCAGTCTAGGGAACTGAGAGGACACACGGAGATCAGCAACCCAATCACCTCTGTCACCTCCCGAGTTTTGGGGAGCAGGAGGGTAATGTCCGGGAAACAAATTGCCACCAAATTGGCCAAATTGTGGACAGCGCCACCAGAGTCAGGGTAGAGAACCACCCAGCACCCCCTTTCTGCCCCCAGCCACAGAGACAGCGTGGACCAGCCTCATTTTGAAATGGCTCTTGTGTCTGTGTCCCAAAGCCAGAAAGGAAGCTTAACAGCAAAGTAAGCCTTCTTTCTGGGTCCAGAAATCATGAAAAGCCCTGGGTCCGATAGACTGCCCAGAAGCTAACCGAGGTTGCTTGGGGGGTGGGGGTGTCATTTGGACATAGTCCAAATCCAGAAATGAAAACGAAGAGGGGTCGCATAACAGTGCCTCACATAAAAATGGCCTCTGGGGCCATACAGTGGATGCCCCCACAGTTCAACTTAATCATAGCTTATTCAACTCAGTTTTCTAGGTTTCAACTCTGTTCTGCACAGCCCACCAGACAAGCGTGACTAGTTTGTGGCTCGGTATGTCGTCACGCAAACAGGGAAGTGCAGGAAACAGTAAGGGAGGCAGAGAGCAGCGTGGCAGGTCTCGTTTAGGATCTCTAGAGAAGTAAATGGAAGAGGAAGGAATAGATCAGCGCTCCCTGAAGATGGTGCAGTGTGAAGGGGCCAAACTTCTTGTCTCCTGCAGAGAGACGAGGGAGCAGAGGACATTTAGCTTTGAGAAGAGATGAATGAGGACGATCATCGCGCTCTTCTTGGCCTAGGTTCCTATCTCCCAGACGTGGAGATGACAAATTCTGGTGGAACGTTAGGAAAACACTCCAAAAGATCAGAGCAGTTTAACTGTGAAGCTGGCGTTGGGCCCTCCCTCACAGGGTGTCTTCGAGCTGAGGTTGGGCAGGAATTTGTGGTGGTGCTTTCATTTAGGTTCCTCTGCTAAGCCCACTCGATGAGCTAAATGCCCCCTTCTAACTCTACAATCCATCCAGGAATTTAAGTGGGCAATCGTACACCCACTAACCAAAATAGAGAGCCATGTCCCTACAGTGATCAGTGTTACACCGGTTTTGAAAGAGGGATCTGGTAACTTGTAAGTTCCTAGTAGAAAGAGGGATTTAACCCTGGAGCCAGTTGCTTGGGGGGTGACCGTGCCCCTTTGCCAGGTTCCTGCACTGAGCCGCAGGCTGGACGCATAACTGAAATAAACGCTCGCTTCCAGCTCTATGCTGCTATGGCTCTGCAAAAGCAAGAGACAACAGGTCAGATACAAAACACACCCAAAATTCTGGGGGGAGGGAGAGATCAAGAACTACAACAGCCCAAAGGCTATTGAAACAAAAAGGTCATTATCTGGAGTGGAAAGCCAGCTGTGACCACAATGAAAACTCCTGGCCAAGGTGAAGGAGTTTAGGGGCCAAAGTCCAAGTGTCAGTGCTTGTCTGGGCAGCCTCCAAAGTCTCCAGCAGCATGTCAGAAGCAGCTAAATCTTGCCCACCTCCTCCTCTGACCACCACCACCACCCTGTCTCCCCTGCCTTCCACAATCCCAGTCCACATCTTGCTCTCCCACCTGCTGTGCAGCACGAATCATTCGACGTGCCTCCTCCTTGATGCTGGGGTTGTCTGGGGGTGGCGGCTGCACCAGTGTGGTCACTTCAGTTCCCCGGAACCCAAAGACCATTGGCCAGCCTAGATCCAGCTCTGGAACAGCCAGATCAGAGTTCACTGGCCAGTAAGTGCCTGAGGAACCATCCATGTCGACATCCTGTGGGCCAGAGTCTGTGCTGCCCCCACCCTCCTGAGAGGCATACTGTGGCTTCTGCAGGTGCTGGGTGATGTGCTCAATTTCTGAGGGGCAGAGGAAGTCTGGGGCCCCCTCCTCAGCCAGAAACCGATGGTAGCTCTCCTTGCCCTCCTCAGCCAGCAAGTCCAGCGCCAGGCGGTAGTACTCCTTGTAGTGGGGCGGAAGGTAGTTGGGATCCAGAGGGTTGTCCCCTTGAGAGGAGCTCTGTGACCGGCGAGCCATGACAACGGAAGCCACTATGGGGGGAAACAAGAGCCTGGTGGTTACAAGGGTTGGGCAAAGCAGCATCACTTTGTTTCATGGAGCAGCTTCTACTCTGGAACTCCCTCTCTGAAGGGGCCTCCCCACCTGAAAGAGCCAGGGGCTCAGCCTTGACGCTGCCATGGAAAACCTGAAAGTGGCTCTCTCTGGTTCCATGGAATGCCTTCTGTGGGAGCACATGTGAACACCCCCGTGTGCGTCCACAGATGCCCATCCAAGTGGCTGAACTGATGCAATGCAGCAGCTTCAGTGCGGTGCCTCCCAGCAGGAGCCCCTTCCCTTCATGACCCACATCGGAGGGTACTTTGCCAGTTGCGGCAAAGCAGCTTTTTGAGGCTTTGTACAGATCTGCCCCTTACACATGAACAGGACCCATGAGAACCTGTCCTTTCTCTCCAGTCCCCGCTTAGTACCTCCATCCTTGAGGAGCCAACCAACCAACCAACCAGCCTTCGGAGGTGCCAGGGTTCCTCTCCATGCCAAAGAGGTCACATGATTCGGACACAAACTCTCGCTCTCCTCTAATGGAAGCAGAAACCATTTGGTAGCACCTGGTTTGCGCCCAAGGGTATACCATGCCAACCTCTTGAGCCAGGTATTTTGCCTCCCCTGTGGCTCAAATGCTGAGCTGTGTTTTGCACAGAGAAAATCCATTTGCAGCGGAGCACTGCCAGGAGGCAGGGCAGAGAAAGAACACCCTCCCGACAGAAGTCTTGAGGACAGGCATATCGCTGTGCCAGGTGAGTCTCTCAGATAAAAGTGACCACTGACCAAAAGGGCATGGTGCAGTTTTTGGACCATGGAGACCTCTTAAATTAGTATCTTACAGAGCCAAAGGAGATTCAATTCTACCAAGCCCCTGAACTGGGAGGCAGAAGAGGAACCCTGGGACAGAAGCGAAGGTTGCTACGCCCAATGTCTCCGGAGTTAAAAGAAAACAGCAGCTGTCAAGCAGGAAAACGGGGAGCAGGCAACAGTGGCTGGATGCAGACGCGGGTTCGGGAGGCCTGGACCCCGAAGAGCCCTTCTGGCCTTCACCCATCCCTCAACTTCTCGGGACATGGCCTGACAAGGGAGACCCTTTGAGGTGAACGGGGAGCCACAGCACCCAAGACTCTGTCCTGAACAATAACATTTTTGTGGGTGTTCGACATCTCCAGTGTGCTCCCCCCTCCCAACTAGGTCTTCTCAATGCTATTCCTGGGTAGTGAATTCAAGAGTCCCTCAGGATTAATGGTGGAAGAGGAAGAGAGACCGAGACCAAGAGGCAGATGCCACACTCAGGCAGCTTGGCTAAGTTTAACCATGATTAGGGTTTATTTTGCACCATGATTTGGTGCAATTCCAACCTGTTAATTAGCATATGATTCAATGCCCTGTGTAAACTATGGAAAGGGGTTAAATCAGTGACCAGGGCAAGCGTGTTGTGTGAATGTCAGGAAGAGTAACAGCAGAAGGAAAAACCAAGCAGCTGCTTGGTGCCAACTCCAAGAAGGTATGTTCATGCATGCTGCATGCACCCATTGGGAAAACAACAGCCTCTGTACATAAGCAAGCTGGCCCTGCAGGTTCTGGGAGGTGGGACAGTCTTGCTGTGCTTGGCTTGCTAGCCTCCCACATTATAACAGCTGTTGCACTCCAGGTGTGGCGTGGGGTAGGTGCCAAAGGCCGCAGGGGAGTTACACACAGGAATATCTCTGTGGCGGAGAGGAAGCGGGTGTGCCGCTTCATGTGCCTACACGGGTGAGGCTGTGCGTAGAGGATGGCCACGTGGGGGAGGCATAGGTGGGGCTCCTGAAACTTTGGACCGTTCCACTCCTGCTAGAGTTCCACTTTGCACAGGCACCGCCAGCTGCACCAGACAACAGTTCTATGTGCTTGGCCAGCCATTGTTTGTTTAGACAGAAAACTGCAGTCAAACATAACTGCACCCACCACTAAAGCTGACACATGAAAAAATCCCCAAATATTAAATGAAACCCATCTGGATTCTAACTGGAGCATCTGCTGCCAGGCCAGTCAAGTCGCGCTGGCGAAGATAGCGTAAATACACGGCTCCCCTGCAAGAAACTATCCCAGAGGACGGCCCCAACCCCATAACTCTGGTCTGCCCTCACTGTCCTCCCGCAAGCCCTGGCCTTGAAAGAACTCTCCCCTCTGATGACAGCCAGGCTCAAGAGGGGCTGGAGTCACTGGCAGAAGCACGGCAGGCCAGCCACGTTCCCAGCACCAGAAACTGCTGGCTGTCTCCAGCCTCGGAGCAGGACAAAGGCGGCCCGTCAACCAGTCCTCCAAGCAGCTCCTCTTTTTCCTTCTGCTTCAGCCACGATCAGGCGTGCTGAAATGGGGCTCCAGACCCAGGGCGAGCCCTAGACAGCACAAAACGTTTAGGACATGGGCTAGGTTTGTGTACTAAGAATCGTGATCCATGAGCGCCTGTGCGGAGTCGTGCCGCCTGCCACATAGCTCAGGCAGCCAGGTTCAGGGCAACTGCGCCACAGACAAGGGCTGCCAAAGCCCTTCCAGAGACTCGTTCTCAAAGGCAGGACCTGGTAGTTGCAGCAGATTCGGGCAGCTTTCTAAAAATAAGGACTCTCCTGTGGGACACGGCTATTTGTGAAAACACAGAGGGATTTTCCACCGGCCAGCCTTCACCCAGCTGCTTCAGCTGGGAGGCTACGTGGGTGCTGAGTGCCTGGATGTCCATTAGATTTAGGAATAGGAGCAGGGCCCAGGAGGCCCCCCGACTCAGTGTCCTGTTCCAGCAACGGCCAACAGGTGCCACCAGCAGGAAGCCCCAAGCCAAGGAGGATTTTTCAGAATCTCATCCCACCATGATATCCTTGGTCTTCCCCTTCCTTTTGACCCAATCGCTCTTCCTTCACATAGCTGTTTTGTAATTCAATCCGCATTCATTCTGTCTACATAACCAAACCACCACAGCATAATTGTTTCAAACTGATGACTCACTTCGGTTCATATTCATTCAGTACCCATTCATTCGTGACCTTGTCCTGCTTGACTACACCCTCTTCTTAAGTATCCCACTCCCGCCACATTCAACTTTTATTTATTTATTTATTTTATTTATTTATTAAATTTCTCCCCCACCCATCTCCCCCCAATGGGAGACTCTGGACGGCTCACAACTCATTGAAAACAATAAATAAATATACAATTAAAAGCCTATATACAAAAGATGAAGGAAAAGGTCCAGGAGGCCGATGGTTCAGGGCAGCAACGCCAGGCCTCTAGGTGGCCAGCCAACCCCACATCTGATGACCTCCCTTCCCTCCCCGTCCCAGGCCAGATGGCAGAGCCAGGTCTTCAAGTCCCTCCGAAAGGCCGGGAGTGAGGGGGCCCGTGTCACCTCCGGGGGCAGAATGTTCCAAAGGGCGGGGGCTACCGCAGAGAAGGCCTGCCTTCTGGACTCCGCTAGTCGGCGCTCTTTTG